TACAGTCTGGGCAGACACTGGCAGTAATTTATGTAAATCATACTCGACGGGTCATGCTGTACAGTCAAGAAAATTATGATTTGATAGATATGACATTATTATGGAAATGTTTCATATCTGAAGAAAGACTATTTTTCTTCTTTGTTCACAAGATTATGTACGAACTTTGAATATGCATTCGACATCAGTATCTTGTGGTGCTTCTAGATAGTGTGTTTACCACTAAGTTCAACCATTTAAAATGTTTTTTGATATCAAGATAAGAACCGTCGTTAACACATTGTTTATAAGGATTTTTGCGAGGGTTCGAAATCCAATACAAACGAGGCAGGTCCGTATTCTTCCCATTAATTGGTTTTCGGAAAGACTGTAATGCAGAGGCAAGATTAACACAGTATTTAGTATTTAGGAATATTGGAAAATGTATAGATATGGATTCCTTGATAAACAAACATGTCCGGCTCTTTTTGCAAACAGGAAATTCAATAGTGTCTGCAGACAAGGATTAAGTTATCAGATGCTTTGGAACCACACCTGCATACGTATCAGGCAGATCGTTGAGTGTAGTTTAGACATCCGGGTCAAGAAATACAGACATGACTTTTTTATTTTTTTAGTTTGAACTCAAGCTGCTAATTCGTTTTTGGATGATTGACCTGCATAATGTCTGGTGTAGTCTTTCACAAAATCCATCAGAATATTAAAATTTAGATTAAAAATGACACTTTAGACCCATAACGAAAATAGATCGTAGCTTTGCAGTATGGGTAATATTTAGATCGCCAGTTACTATGTGTAATGCCAGACAATGGTTGTATTGGGATGTAGGACAACTTTAATGAACCGTCAACTTCAGTGGTGTGTCGATAGTCTGATCAAATATTCTTCCACTTAAAAATAATGACAAATTGTTCTAATGATGCCGACAATGTCACATTTGTTTATTCGGTTTGACTCTTATTGTGATGTCAAAAATATTCTTATTTCTATTACCTTCTTGTATTTGGATCCTTTGAAAAAAAGAAGAAATGACTTACCAACTAATAGTGTGAGACATTAGGAACAGTGCTATTCAATATAAAGAACTCAGAATTCGAAACAAAAAACCTTTAATTAATGATCAAATTTAAGATACTTTAGGTTAAATGATGAATGTTGCTGTGCCAATAAGCCCTATCACAATGTGTTTCAATCATCTTGAACTGAAGTTGTCATAGTGGTCAAACATTTGCAGGGTGATTTAGTAAAGCCAGTAAGCATGGAGGAAACCTTTCTTCATAAAGATATTTAGTCTATTAAAGGATCGAGTATAGGAAATACTAAATCTGCATTTGAGTCCATACTTAATAAGGTAACAACTTCAAACTCATGTCTATAATTAGTCAATAGGCAGTCTCTAAAAGATATCGATGGTTTAAAAGTGTAAATACCGACATCACCCCAAAAACAACCAAGGTCTTTACAAACAAAGACAGTCCCATTAGAAGCTTGGTCGGCTATTAAAACTACTTATTAATTAGAAAAAAAGTTTGTTGCAACAAACACTGGCAAGACTTTGTTTGTGGTATTCATTATTGAAATTTAGATATTTAATCTTAATAAGATGTCTGATACAACACCCCCAGACAAGGTACCCGCTCAAAGTTGTTCTCGTTTTACGGATTCTGCAAGGCAGAAATGATAATCTTGATACATGGTATCACGTGATTTCCACGTATATTGTTGCCCTTTCCTTCGCATAAATCACTTTAACGGAAGTTATATATACATATTTCTTTTTATCATATAACTGGCCCATTTTACTATGTCATAAGGCCATGTCATAAATATGGTATTACACACGTGAAATAAAACCTGAAGATGTTGTGATTGGTCAATACCTTGGGAACATATTCCTACGCCGCTAAAGGTACTTCTTTTATTTACTATATCACATGATACATTTACTGTTATTTTCAATGGAAGTGAAATGTATATTTTATATTATTATTTTTCATTGCATTGAAAACTTTTCAAAATTCAAAAAAAATAAAATAAATCTCGAACCGCTTTGCACTACGCGGAACGACAATACTGTGATCGGAGTACTTTGGTTTTAACTATATTGAGTCAGCTGAGAACACATCATTGTGTTTGGATTTTTTTCAAATTATAAATGTTGTGGGTAAATAGAATCTTACATTCGAGTCCATACCATATTGAATTTATCAAACTCGTTCAATAAATTCAATAGGACATGGACAGTTATGTAAGATTCTCTGTATATCGCTGATGGAGAATTCCTAGTACATAAATAAACGTCCCTTTTTATACAGAGACCTTATGACTGAAATTAATGTAACAAACCTACGATTTATATTGTGAGCCGTGTGTCTTAAAAGTGTGTCACACTACTTAACCGACTACAGACATGTATGCATCATATACCAGACTTATATTGTTATCCCTAGATGTTTAAAGCGTCTGGTCCTGCCTCACAGACCAACAACAAGTTGTCACTTGATCACTTTTTGTGTCATGTGACCTTTCATGGCATCATGTGATCACAATAAGAATCGATCGATGTGTCGTCTGATCGTGCTCTCACCCTTTCGTTGTATTGTGACGTAGCCAATGTCTTGAATGTTGCTGGATAAACATTTAAAAGCCGCCATGATATTTTTTTCTGTAGAAAGTAGATGCAAACTATAGAGACAGCTGTTTCTACGAGCCAAAGAGGCGGACGTCCAAACGTGTCTAAGCTACCAATGAAACAGAAGAGGAGACGAATAAAACCCTAAATCATATGAACTAAAAACTAAAAAAAGATGGAGGGGTACTAGTTAATATTGAATTAATAACGCGAAAAGTAGGTACATTACGAAACTAGCCACTTCCAAAAAGAGAAAATTGTGGTCATCAAAATTACGACAAACCTCGGGGACTGAAAATTCCATTGTTTATTAAAATTGTATCTTGAAGGAGAACGTAAGGTATACAGATGATGTAGGTTGATGAAGATTGTATACAAGTGTTATGGTCCCTGGTATCGCAGGGAAATATGCTATTTCTTTGTGTGATAGGAATGTCGATGTTTTTATTATTATTATGCTCATTAGAGTGCCTCTTAGTTTGGTTGTCACTAGCCGAGTTCCCGATGTGAAGACATGGCATTACTTAGATTTGGATCTGACCTATATTTAAATGGCGTACGTCGTTGATGCAGCAGAAGAAGCAGCAGAATAAGCTTGCCTCTCCGGAACACCTGGTCTTATTCCCTGGAATTCTTTGAGGGTCTCCAAGTAAACCTTTCCTTTATTCATATGTTGCCCTAGTTTAATCTTTGTGTTTGAAATAAAGTTATGCTGGCACTTCGATTTCCTTTTGTTTTTCCTGGTCATAATGATGTCATGGTACCACGACGTGAAGACCAAATATGGGCAACAGAAAAGGTAGAATATTTGAAAAAAAAGCACCTCTTATTTGTGATGATGTTGGTTTTGTAATATCTTTGATTAACTACGTTAGGGTGAGCCAAGTGCTTTGTAAAACATACAGGTGATTTGATAGATTGGATATAATTAACAGCACACTCTATCTAATGAGATGGCCTTCATATCCGCTATCAAGCTGAAGGAGACGGTAAATGCGGTTATGTGTATAGACTACAACGAACAACGGAGTCACCTGCCAAGGCTGATCAGTATTGATACGCTCACATCAAACGTCCACGTGCTCTTGACCTCGATGGGTGTGGCAAAAACGTCAGATAACTGACGGAATGTCTCGCAAGGAATCATGAGAAAGGACTTACAGTACTGCATACTTGTCACGACATTTCACCAGTCTGTTGGCCTCAAACCAATACTGTGTTAACACGTAATACTGTCGGCGTTCCACTACCAGCACATGTATGAACTTCTTACCTCAGCTAGAATAACTGGAAATGAACACAGGAGGTACAAAGCGAACAAATCAATACTTTAAAATTAATACCTTGTTTTTACCACTTCAGTGCTTTCGTAATAATCTGTGGATATTTTTTTTCCTTGAAATTGTATCCCCAGTGTTTGCAAATGTTTCCCCAGAAAATTGATATGTTTTAACCGACGGTGTACGATCACAGGTTCACGTGCCCTGTAGTTCCATAACGACACTGTAACATGGTTTGTTACCAGCTGTTTGTCATCGCCTCCATATGATAGAGTGATCGATAGTCCAACAAGTTAAACATGACATGTGTAAACCGTAATTTGGCCTGAACCCACCATTGATCTACCGGCATAGGTCTAACTCATATTCTGCCCTATAGTTTTGTCTTCAATAGGTGACGTATCTCTCTACTCGTCTGCCTGAGATTAATCAAAATCCAATCATCGAAGACTATAGAATATTCATGAACAAACTTTTTTTTTTTTTTATCTATCATTGCTGTGGAACGCATGACGATATACATATATACAAAATAACAGCCGTGTAGCAGTGGTATTCCCTCAGGTGTAATGTCAAAAACAAACTCTGCGACATGGCAAAGACATTGGGTAAACAGCAAGGCCTGTCTTTTATGACTTACCCTCATCATGACGTAATCTTTGTCCGCGTTTAATAATCAATCGAAACTTCTTACGTTCATGTATAATGTTAATAGGGAGCTGAGTAGGCTCGTTATACAGGTAATTATTGCATAGATAGGCCTATTACGCAGCCTCTTTGATACGGTAACACACCAACTTTATAGATTTATTAAAGCGGTAACGACGGGGCCGACTGACCAGCCGAGATGATGGCCTGTGTCTGTTGTCCATGAGTCCATGCTATAGAGATCCAGTTGGTCTTATGTAAGATGGAGCAACACCCCGACACGTTAGATGTATGATCAGCATTGGAAACGGTATCGATCGGTTTGGAGCGCAGGCTCGGCAAATGGATATATCCGTATGAAACTCCCGTCATTATAGCTTTAAGTGCAATGTTCAGGACGTGAGCTAGAAACATCCAGCAGTATGTGCTGGCACGTTTGCGGAAGAGACACGCTGAAAAAATAATATAGCTTAAACAAGTTTATCAGGTTGAAACCTATCTGTAATAGTTCAATAATACTACTTTTCTAATTAGTTCTACTCGAGTTCACCTCGGCGGGCCTGAATGAACGTCTGTCCACTTACCTTTTATCAGTCGGCGTGAAAATAAAATAGCAATACGCACGGGCAGTCGAAGCTACAACACAGAGTGAACAATTTGATTCTGTCGTGTTAGATGGTATCCATCCAAACGTATATCAAAGCCATTTAACCCCAAAAAGATTCCGTCTGCGGAAGGGAGGATGAATGACATGTTTCCATGGAGACAGTATATATGGCCGCTTAGCTGCGGCAAGGAGTTTTCTAGAAGATGAAATAATGATGACGGGAAGATGAAATGTGATGGCGAGCCAGTAGATAAAATTGTGTTATTCCGTGTGATGGAGAAACGAAAAAATCTATCGGCATGACATGGACGAACGAGGGCGGTGCACGGGCGGTGTGACGGATAGGCAAGCACTCGATTCTCACAGACAGGTCTGTAGCTACGTAGTAATACTTGTAGTAGTAACGTGATGGTCTCAATCTGATGTTCAACGTTTGGACGGTCGTGCTAGCTAATACCGTTGTGGGAACAAAACAAATCTCACTTGATACACTGGGGAGTCACATTTGGATTATCGCTGAAGACTGGAGGACACACCGGCGATGACATCTGTCCATTAAGTAACTACCTAAGTCATGGTATTACGTTCGAAAAAGTTGTACGTGCTTCTGAGCATGAAGCATCGTTGGTAATGGTCTTTATTCGATTCCGAAAGTAGCGGTTATGTCGCGCAAGGGAAACTACCAAAACAACGAGCAAGCACGTGACTAGCTTCAGTTTGTGCATAACAAATAAAACAGAATGCGGTTCCACTTGCCTTGGTTGAAGTAATACATTTTCTCGTCACAATATGGCGTTTCATCTCGACACCGGGAACATCTGATATGATACAGTTGGCTGGTACTCTACTTCTCTGCCACAATTGAAATGCCTAATATGAAATCTGGCCTCAATTTTGCTTCCAGTCGTGAATTTAGATTAATTGTTAGATGTTAAAATGTTCAATGATAACTTCTCACAGTGAAATCAATTTGCCTTTTGTCTCCGCGATTGATTGATATTTCAAGAGGATGAGGTTTACTCGTTAATACAATATCAATCGGCTATGCATAATGGAAGAAAAGTTTCCGACTTCTACGAAGAAGTTGGTGCTACTCCTATCCGCCGAAATGGCCCAAGGCTGTGTGGGGATGACGAGAGAATACTGTTGAACGTAGGTGGGGTACGCCACGAGACCCATGTGGCTACCCTGAGGAATATACCATGTACCCGTCTTTGTAAGTTGGCCGAGCTCCACGTGATATCTGCGGACAGCAAGAGAGATGAATATTTCTTTGACCGACATCCCTCAGTTTTTAACTCTGTCATTGACTTCTACAGAACAGGTATGTTATTTTATCTCAAAATTTCTCACTTTTTTTTTTTTTAATTCTAATGAAAAATTCACATCTTTTATGAATATTTAAATGTTATTACTGTATGTCAGCAAATCACAAACATATATTTATGACATTACACATTAGGGGTTACATCAAGACAAACACACAGGCATGGTACGTAAATGAGAGAGCGAGAATATTAACCAGGCTGTCCATAAAATGGCTTGTATCGTGTCTGATGGCGTATGGTATTGACATAACAAAAAACATGTACGATTTGGTTTCATGGGAATGTGTGATACGCCTTGCATTGATTTGATGCCTTGTTCTGTTTACACGTGCGAAAGCACGAGCAGACGAGCGAGGCATGACATTTTGTTACACGAGGTTTAAATGTCACCAGAGCAAATATCTACATTAATAGTCGTACAATGTTCCAAACACTCGATGCAGTCGAGATCCCTGGGGTTGATCGCTGATTAACTCCGTATTGTCATGTATACAAACATTCATTGTGAAACAAAAATATATATACTGTTATGAAAGATTGAGGTTCATCGACGGTTACACCAGACATTGGCCGTGAATTGATAGCCTATCTCGGTCTGCAATATATGTGATCGTATTGTAGAGCAAATGACATGACACATATCGTGTAGTGTAAATAACTAAGAAACCCAGAGTACTCGGCCTCGTTTATAATTTACAGTATATATATAAGGTACAGTAATTAAGGTTTGGACATCAAAGCTACACTTAATTCGTCATCAAAAGATATTTGCCTCGTCACGTTTTGTTGAGGTAATGATAGTAGTGGAACGCCGATAGTTGTGTAAGGGAACTCATTAGCTCGCCGCTAACGAGCTGCTCTCCTGTGTTACCCCTCCCTTATGCGGAGGTGTAAATGTGTTATTGCCCTGACTATCATATTTATGTTTTAATCAGATTGCTAGAATCCGTCTTCCTGCGTATTATTGTTCCACTCTCAAAGTAAGATGATGATGGCCAAAGAAAATATCTGTTTTAAATTTTATCACCTAATATAACTACTTCACCATCCCCACCTTCGGCGGATTTATCATTTATCTCGTAATTTGATTTCTTTCCTCTGAATCGCTATAACGTCAGAACAATATTATATACGGTTGGTTCGGAACTGAACTTCCGGATCCGTTTCTTCAACGCATGAATCTTGTGTTCGGCCTTTTTAGACAGACTATTGAGGCAGCAGTATCACTGTAGGTATGACTGTTCGATGTGATTCTACTCTGATTTATATACTCTTTGTATAGAAGTTCCAAAGACGATTCTAGAAGTCTTGTAGAGCCAAACATGTGACCCGAGTAACAATGCCTTTCAGTTATCTTTAATTGTGTCTGATGCAAGGGATACGCTTTGTTTGGAAACACAAGAATATTGTTTTAATGGCATCTATAGCGAAATGTTTATATATGTACAACGTTTGTCTGGCAGGACCGATACCAGTCTATGTAATCGCTATGTCCCTAGCATGGCGCTATTGACGAAACATTGTTGCTACATCATATATCGGGAGCAGGCAATGTCCAAGACACGTAATATACATGATTCAAAAAGCAGGTGACATCATAAATAGTGGATAATGTTTGAGGTTACCGTCTGGCCTGTGTACTAGACAATCCATAATCGTTTACCGTCTTAACCCAATAATCTCTGAGATTTACCAACATATACGCGGAGTCAGATTCACGCTTATTTTCCCATAAAAAAACTGGAGCTAGATTGGACTACACAAACGAGTCTACTACAAAGAGCTAACAACCCAGTAAGTCTAAGCGGACAGTGTCTGATCTTTTCTAGATATATATAAGGCATACCGCAGATTTGTGTACTGCGTTTGTGAGATACTTATGTGTGTGTGTGTGTGTGTGTGTGTGTGTACTTACGAAATGTACGTGTGTTTGTGAGATGCACGTGCATTAGTGAAATGCACGTGTCATGAAAAATACATAAATTTGTGAGACGTTCGTGTGTTTGTGAGATGCATGTGTAATGGATATCTGTTTGAGATCTTAACGAATTTGTGAGACGAAATGTATACGAGTTTGTGAGATGTACGTGCCATGCAGTTGTTGACTTATTTCCGGATGAGTAAGTGTGAAGTACTGGCATGTGTGGAAGCATGGAGAAAGTGTTTATAGACAAAACTTTACATTTTGACATTTCGTCAAACAGAAGGACAGGTTTTGTGTGTAAACATGTTGATTACAAAGAATGTGATTTGTAGCGACATGTTGATTACACATCATGTACGTGAGTTTTCGAGACTAATTAATGTTTGGAACGTGAGTTGTGTCAGCGAGTATGATACACAAATCGTGTGACAATACCTTCGACGGATGAAGAGCTGTGGAAATATATGGTGTATGTGGGAATATTGATTGGATATTATATATATGTATCATGTAGATGTTGCACAGGAGGAGGAACGTGCCTACTGCAAGGTACTCATGACGTACACATGTGAAGGTGTACGTGTATGGGTACACGTGAAAAGAACACACGTGTGAAAGTGCATGCATATATGTGTGTGTCTACGTGTACGCATACTACTGATGATATTAACGCATATGTGAAGGTTTATATATGTGTAGAGATGTGTATACTGGAGGGTTCACATGTGTAGCTCGCCTACACTATAATGCAGATTCTCGTTCCATCGATCGTTACGTAAAGCCTACCTTACCAGGCACATGCTTTACCTTTCTTACATTTTGGATCAATGAGCAGTTCATCTCGCCACAAACTTACCTGATATTACCACGGAAACACCGCTATTTCCACTCAAATTCTGTGGTAACGCCATGGTAATTGAATGTGGTGGCGTTAATTTTATATGAATACGATCATAATTAAGGCAGAGATTAGTTGAGGATATCTATGGTCCAATAATCACTGTTAGCATTGTATATTAATTGAAATTAAAATGCAGTTCATTGTTCATTTTAAAATATCCGTTTAATATACGTAGATAATCAATACCTTCCTAATAGAAACAATGGCGTCTATGTCAATGGCTTTTGTATGGGTTTGTGATGAGGAAACATGAGATGCGTGGCCTACTCCCACAACAATGGTTACGGTTCCGCGACTCGCCACTGCCACATCTCTGTATAACACACATAATCTCCGTGTGTTTTATCTGCAGAAATCCTGCACAAGATCAATGAAATTTGCGAGCTCGTCAATCATAATCGCTGCACATTGCTGTGTATTTATCTAACAGGGAACCATTTTGTTCACAGTAATAAGTAGAGGCATCGTGTTGTTTGTCCACAAAGCTTTGGGGCAGATCCGGTGTCGTTTGTACGACGAATTATCTCCACATCTACATAGTATTTGGACTTTATTCGCCAACATCTGATGTCTGTGAAATGCCATGGGAAAAGATTCGCTTTTATTTCAGTGGCTATTTATACCACAAGTAGGTTTTAATACCAACGTATTGGGTAAATTAGAGCCGTTTACATGGTTTGATTGTGCTTTATCAGCCTGAGTCAGGCATACGATTCCTCCTTCCCACGAAATCGTTCAACACCACCCATGCCGTCCTACATGGCGTCACGTTACCATGGCAGCCTGGTTATGACACGAAAACCTCCAGCAAATTTTCGCTGTTGGAGTACACCAGAACTTATCTCGGACTTCCCTATCTCCTTCTGTTCCTGCGTTCTCTCCGTTTATTTTCTGTCCCTCGTTCTTTTGTTAATGCATCCCAAAGGTCCAGCTCAGTGTTGTGGTATATGACTCTAACGGTGTATTGGCAGTGTTTGATATCAATAGAATTGATTGGTTTTAATGTGGAAATCGTCTATGCTGATGAATTAGGACGGAAATGATTAAAGAAAAAAAGTTAAAAAAATGATATATATTATAGTTAATTATACTGCTGGAATTTTTATTTTCTTTTAAAAAATTCAAATCGAAAAAAATGTTAAACTGCTTAGCAATATTTGGACTGTTTTTTCTCTCTCTCTTGTCATTGTATTCACTATACAATTCAACCTCTTGTCATTGTATTCACCATAGAGTTCCACCACTTGTCATTGTATTCACTATAGAGCTCCACCTCCTGTCATTGTATTCACCATAGAGTTTCATCTCTTGTCATTGTATTCACCATTGAGTTCCACCTATTGTCATTGTATTCACCATAGAGTTCCACTTCATGTCATTGTATTCACCATAAAGTTTCACCTCCTGTCATTGTATTCACCATAGAGTTCCATCTCTTGTCATTGTATTCACCATATAGTTCCATCTCTTGTCATTGTATTCACCATAGAGTTCCACCTCTTGTCATTTTATTCACCATAGAGTTTCATCTCTTGTCATTGTATTCACCATAGAGTTCCATCTCTTGTCATTGTATTCACTATATAGAGTTCAACCGTTTGTCATTGTATTCACTAAGAGTTTCACCTCTTTTCATTGTATTCACCATTGAGTTTCACCTCTTGGCATTGTATTCACCATTGAATTGACCCTGTCATCATTGTATCCACCATTAAAAGCGCATTATTATATTCAACGTTAATTCACCTTTTTGTCATTGATTGTATCAACGAATTCCCCCCTCTTATCATTGTATCAACCATTGAACTGTCCCTCCTCTCATCTTTGTATGAACCATTGTATTCCTTCTCTCATAATTGTATTTATCATTGTATTCCTTCTCTCATAATTGTATTTATCATTGTATTCCTTCTCTCATAATTGTATTTATCATTGTATTCCTTCTCTCATAATTGTATTTACCATTGTATTCCTTCTCTCATCCTTGTATTAACCATTGAGCTGTCCCTCCTCTCAATTGTATTCACCATACAGTTCCACCTCTTGTAATTGTATTCACCATAGAGGTCCACCTCCTGTCATTTTATTCACCATAGAGTTTTACCTCTTGTCATTGTTTTCACCATATAGTTCAACCTCTTGTCATTGTTTTCACCATAGAGTTCCACTTC